TGTCGTTGTCAAACAGCAATCGCATCGTCCTGCATCGGGACCCAGCATTGAGTGGCATACTGTAGGTGTGTCCCTGAAGACTGATAGCGGACCAGGAGGCTCCAGTGCCGTACGTATGCAGTTACTGAGGACTTATTTGCCATGAGGTTGTGGTGAGCACAACGGGCCCATCCGTTTCAAACAATGCGTCATGTCAAGTGCAGTGGCTTCAAACAACTATTCAAAGTTCAATCCCCAAGGTACGTTGCCATGGGGATAAGGGGACCGAGGCTAGCGACACTCCCACGTGAATAATGCTACTTGCGTCTTAAATCTTGATATTTTTTACTGATATGATAATTTTTACTCTTAAAGGAAGAGTCCACCTTTGGGGCATATTTCAAAAACATGCTATGGTGAAACTTCATAACGATTTACTTCGAGCAATAACAATGGGTAGTGTCAGTGCGACACCATCAAGATAATACAAGGGTGTAGGTTTTGATTACCTCTTCGATTCCAAATTACGTTATCAGCGCGTTGTAATAACACTACAATTCCTCTTCTCTTAGTAGCCCCAGTGTGTATCATAATTTTGCGGCAGCTGCAGTTGTCTAGACCGCAGCGGTCATGACTACAGCAAAATCTGGTGAGGACCGTTGTCAGATGTTACGGGTCAAAGGTACACTTTTGAGCTGCTTTAACCCACGCATTGATGCTTTAACTCACGCATTGCGGGCCAGCGGGCTTAAAAGTGGCACCCCTACTGGAATGAATGACGTCGCTTCAAATAAATGTTTGTAACTGTCATGGCGGGCGGCAAGGTCCAATTACCGAGAAATGAGTCGACTATTGTTCGTACCAGAGCGTCGCTGTAGACAAAGTGATACTCCATTCCCCAAAGCCAAAGTGCGCTTCGAAAAATGCCTTCATTATGAAAATGCGTAGGCCTAAAAATGCCTAAAAATGGCGCTACGGTAAACGCCACAGAGGAGAAATCAAAGCCAAAGTATAACGCTTCGTTCGATTCCCGGGGTAATAGCCTCATAGTGGCATATTTTTCTCTGAAAAGTGATTCCTACTGATGTTGCATTTGTTACACAAGATTCTTGACTTATAAGTGTGTCGCAAACATTACAGAACACACTTGTTAGACAAAGCAAGGTAAATTAAATGCATTACTTTCAAAGTTATGAACAAAAAATCCCATGCGACTTCTCCCGCAGGAGCGAGTACGTCAAATCGACATTCTAAGTTATTCAGACGGATTTCGAGAAAACTGGTACCACCGATCAAATCGGACGTGTCCGATCCAGCGATAAGTGGAAAACACAAAACTTGCATACTCCTTCTAACGTCGCTGTCTCTTTTATGAAATGTGCGGCAATTACACATCCACATCACCATTGGCCATGAGGACTTTTAGTAATGTTTCCACCCTGTTTTACAGCGAAATGCTCAGAACATGTCTGTCATATATTCATTAACTGCACAGTTATGTGAAAAAGCGTTCGTCGCTAATCTGGCTAACGGTGGGTCTGAATAATTTACTATTGAGGTAAAATCCGACTTTGCGTGCTGCTTTAACCGTAGGTAGATCTTAATTAAGTCTATAATCAAAGTGCACCTTTGAACGGAATAATTAAGTATGATGGCATATCACACGGCTATACACAGCAGGCACAGACACTTAACATGTGAATACATTATCGCTATGTGGGAATCATAAAACGTGCCAAATGCGAGAAATGCACGGCACGGGCCAAAACCGGACCCGGCGAACCGGATCCGACAGCTTTGGCCGCCTCGCTCGTCCTGTGATTGCGCATGACGTCTGGCTTATTGACGCTTTCAGTGACTTACCGTTGTACGAGGAACAACAAAAGTTTTTGGTTGACCATTTTTGGCAGCAAGTGTAAACACATATGAACCAGTCGGCCTTGACGTAAGCCACATAGCGTGAGTCTGTATGAAGCACAGACTCAAGCTCGTGAATCACAGGGTCATTCGAGAACGGTTTCGAAAACGGTGATGGTGGCGCTGTCGTTTGCCGGCGTAGCTTCTGTGGCTGGGACGGTCTTGATATAAACATATGACTAGCAACCGGACCATTCCGGCTCACTGATCAACAGTTTTCACTTTTTGACCTGTTGCGCGCGTCAACGTCCAAAATCGGCTATGAAGATGCACCCTGGAACAGTCCGATCCATGACACTTGCTTGAACATCTGTGACTAGTTGTAGACATCATGTCACAGTTTCTTGACGTTTGTCACCTTTCTTCCCTGTCAGACGGCATTGGCGTCTTACCCTTCCGGCGCCAAGTGATGGAGAACTGTATGCCGGCTGTGGTCCCTGCATGTCAAGCTTTTTTTTTGAAGGAATGAACTTTCGTCTCTGCGATGTTGGAGGGAGCGTCCCACATTTGTATGGGGCTTTCAACTGAAATGACAATCTTGGAGGAGATTCGGTGCATTTCACAGTCCTGCTTTTCTAAAGACCTGAAACCTTCTAGTTTCTGATGCCCGCGAACACGTGCGGATAATTTTTTAAAGGCTATTTGAAGATCACCCAGGCATCCATAACGCCATAACAGCGCCATTGAAATCGTGCTATTTCGTTGGCGATGCAGCGATCAAGGGCAATAAAACATGATTGTTGACTCGCTCATATCTGACGTTCGTTAGCACGATTTCGAGACATGACGGCCGCTAATTGGCTGTCAATCAATGTTGTGCAAGGTATAACGACGCACTTAAACAATGACGTATTGTGCAGCATGTTTGCTAAAAAGCGATAATATGTTTTCTAGAGAAGTCCTTTTTCCACTTAAGAATATGCCAATAGTTAAAAGTGGGCATATTTGATCATATCCAAAGCTTACTACAACCTCTTCAAATGTGGAACATTGCCTTTAACAGAATGGGTGTGTGCAAGGGAATGGCGCCTCCTGGAAGGTCTGCATGCGAATTCCTGACAGTTTATACAAATCATCTTGTGGGAAGACGCACTTTAAATTGCCAAGACTCTGCAAAGCTGGAAGGCATCAAAATCAGCTATCAGGAAGTATGACGGCGGGGGTCGACTGACGTGCCTAATGGTCAATTCAAACCAGTGTTTTCATGGGCGTCGGACGCGCGTCAAAAGCGGGTGACGTCAGAACAAAAAGTGTGACGTGTGATTAAAACAAGAGGGTGCTCAAAATAGCTCAAGAACAACGTGCTCGTGACTATCATATTCATGCTTGAGGCCTTAATATTTGTTTTAATGATCTTAACTATTCAAGTATGCAAGAATGACGGGCTGAACAGGCCCATACTGAAATAGGGTTAGGTGACCAACCGTTCGTTACTGGGGACCCTCACTGGCACGGGACCCAGGACCTTGTTGGCACATAATGTCCTATTAGGCACAGAATGCCTTGTTCATCGCCAACAGGCACTTTAAGCCCCTGACCGATGCAGGAGACCCTTACGCCTTCCAACCAAGTCCTTGATCATCGGCTCCGGTGGGCCGCCCGGGCCCCTCTTCGGCCTCATCGAACACTGCCCTCGGTCGGCTCGGGGCTCCTTGCGAACACAGGACCCTCTGTTATGCGCTGCGGACCCCTGGCAGATACAGCGCCCACGACCAGTATAAATCTCTGGTGACGGCTTTGCAGCTGATAGGGTAGTGGGTCCTCGGGCCTATACCGGCATGGCGCTGACTGCGCGGGACTGATGGCGCCTGACCGACATATGGGCCCAAATCAACTCATGAGTCCCCGATCGGTGCAAAGGACCATCTGACTGTTATCTAAGGGTCCGTACCCGTAGGCTTGAGCCCCTGGATAAGACACGACCAGCCATACGTGCCCTTAAGCCCCCCAATCAGGCCCCTGATCGTCGGTCTCGGTGGGCCCTCCAGACTATTTGGACATCTTTGAACACCGCCTCTGGCCGACTCGGGCCACTAGCCAACACAGGTCACCTATTTGGCGCTGTGGGGCCCCTGACAGACACTGGGGCTCCGACCAATGTAAATAGCTGGCTTCTGCCTCGTCCCTGCTTGGGGCATGGACCTTCAGGCCCATGCCGACACGGAGCCGACTGCGCGCTGTTGGTGGTGTTTAAAAGACGTATAGGCTCTTGTGGACTCGGCGCGGGGCCTCCCGGATGGCATTGGAGTACCCGGCCACGCGGGCCAAGCCGCTCAATGCGACCTCTGGCCGACATTTCGAACCTTTCAGGCGCTCAAATCGTAGGTGCCGAGGTCCCGAGTAATCGTAGGTTTTCGGGCCCATAATCGTAGGTCCTGAGAGACCCGAAGGGCCCCTCGGAACCTAAGGAGGGGGCACACGTGTCCCCTGTGCCACCTGCCTGCGCTTCTGCCACGAATCGTGCTTTTGGGAATACGGCTGACTTTGACAGCAAGAGACGGTACCTCAAGTGCCTGGCGAAGTTCTTTTAAACTCTATATAAAAGCACTGCGGTGTGGTTTGCACGAAAGCAACGGATTCCGACACAGTGCTGATGAGTCGAGCGAATCTTCCAAAGCTTGCGTTAGCTGGCTGAAGATTTTACAAGTGACCGAACCTTGGTTGACTCCTCTGGCTGCGGCCCTGATCTTCACTCGTTCTGTCACATGGGCACCGGATAGTGGTGGTGAACGACAGAGCTTTGAACTGGAAACCAGTAACCTTTGTTGTTCCAGAACGTAACCTTCCAGCTCCACCCCTCTTGTCAATGCTTATAAGCGGTTCTCCGCATGTTGTTTGGCCTGGTCGCATCCTGCATGCCTATAATTTTCAAACTGTTTGTTGAATTGCGTCTCAATCTGATTGAAAAATGCTGCAACTCGACCCCGATCGTATAACGGCGTAGTCCGTCAGATGGCGAGGGCCACTAAATCGCATCAAATGCAAATCCCTCATGATGGCCTTCAGGCCCACTCTTTCAGGCAACGTATTTCGGCAGTGGTGCCGAGATGGAACGCGTTGAAGGTATTTCTGACCTGGGTGTCCACCGTCAGCATCGAGAGCAGTTTTTCAACTCGACGCCATTTATTACAGTTCGATAATGCAGTGGTCAAGACAATTATTTTAGAGCATGCGTCTCATTGAGCACAATGGACGGTAACACGTCACGTTCAACAACAGGAATTCAGTGATAAAGCAGACAGATGAGCGATAGGGTACTGGATCCGCACGATGCACTGCTTCTGTGCGCTGGAGTGCTCTCCGTTAGCCGAACGTGAAGTTGCGCTCCCAGCGGAAAACCGACGAGACATTCTAAAACTTCGTCGTGTGTGTGAAATGGGCTCCTCCAAGCGAACATGACGTCAACGGTTAATTCGATCCGTCATTGAACGAGATCTCACTGTTTCTTAATGATGGAAAAAGTAGCGACGCATGTCGGATTTAATGGTTTCTAATTCGTCCGAACCAGTGTGTCTGGCAGATTGGCAAAGCTGACGCGGTCATAATCCTATTTTTTTTTAGCATTTTTTAAGCGAAAGCGTTATTTCGCGGGAGTATGAATTCTCGAGTCCAGCTGACACATCGGGAAGGCGTGAAAGTTACACCGAATGTCATTCCACTCTCCAAACTTAATTTTTCGCGAAGTGGCGGTGTTCCACATCTCCACACAATCCTCGGATTTCTTATAATTGTCCGGCTGTCCTTTGGACCAGTGCGCTTCGCTGGCCGTCACCACGCCCCCGTCGGCAGCTTTGAACACCCCCTCCTCCTCGCGGTCCGTGATGCCCAGCCAGACGCGCTCGTGGCCGGCCAGCCCCGCCACGCACAGGTTCTGGTTGTGGGTGCGCGGCACGGCCAGGTGGGCGCCAAACGTGGCGCACTGTCGCACGGCGCGGTCGTTGTCTACGGCCGCATTCAGGCGAGTGTAGCAGCGGCCGGCGCACGGCACGAAGCCGTGCGGGCAGCCGCCCCCTGCGGTCAGGCCAGCCTGAGAGAGAGACTGTGCAGAGTCCCGGTCAGACTAAGATCGTAAAAAAACTGTGTTTATACAGCTCAAGCTACCACACATACCCCACGGGGTGACCTTAGCCGGCCGTCGATTTTAAAAATGACCATTTTAGGATAAAGTAGGCTACAACAAGAAGCTAGATTAATTCAGAAAAGTTATAACTGACAAATTCTATGCACGCAGAAGTATAATGTGTAAAGTATGATGATTTGCATCACATCATAATTTTGAAATTGGGGTACATTTGTCACTTGGCCTTGTAAGATGGCATCTGAATTTCATGCACCTTCGTCCAGCTAGCGTTTGGCGGACAACCAGTTGAAAAATAAATAGCCTAAATATAATTATATTACAGTATTAAGTATCAATAAAGATTTTAAAAATATATCATGAAATATAAAATTATAATTGCATAATTATGTTATTAAGTATTAAGCTGAGAGTGTGAATTATCACAATTTGGAAGCTCAGTACGACGTATTTCATGACCCTACATCTTGGTCACAGCTGCTTTCGGGGATCTCCGGAGTGGAGGATTAAGCACCAGCTGACCCGGAATTGCTCTAATCCAGGTTGTTGGTACCACCTTGTCACTGGCGAACTGGGTTCTCGTTCACCCAGCACGTGGTCCAAGTGCTGCCCTAACCCAACGATGCTCATGTGTCTCTACACAGCGCAAACTGAGTTTCAAAAATGTCGGCGACGCCGCTGCCCCACTCACCTCAGCGATGGCCTCCTGGACAACTTGCTTGAGTATTTTTCTGTCGAACAATGCGTTGCAGGATGCCCTGCTCCCGGGCAGACAGAGCACCATCGCCAGCAGGACGCACCATTCTCGGCCGGGCAGCATGCTGTCTCCTATGGCGGGGTCGAGAGAGCGGAGACCAGTGAGACCGGCCAGCGACTGCGCCGGCAAAGTCCGACGGGCCTTATCAAATGGGCTGCGCCCCTCTGTCAACATCCCGGGTAGCGGCGTCGTTTCGCATGCCGCTGCCAGATGACTGCCTGGGCGTACGGCTGGCGAGGGGATGCAGAGCCGGGACCGTGGAGGGCATGGTGCAGATGTCACTATTGGCTTGGAAACCTTGTCTACAGAGCTGGTTTTAATCGTTTGGCTGGTGTGAGAATGCAGAGCCGGGGCCTTTCAGAGCTTGGTGGAAATGTCACTATTAGCGTGGAAACCACACCTACAGAACTGGCTTCAATGGTTTTCGGATAAGTTCTAGAAGGTTTTTACGAGCAAATACGAACTGGGTTGAATCGGGGTACAAAGAAAATGAATAGGCCTTAAACTCAACCGCCAGTTGTTGGAACACAAGGCATGTTTCGTGATGTCTCCAAGACTGCGCTTCAAACTGCAACATCGACATTTGACATATGGTTGCAAAGTGCCTGGGAACGCTCATTGCCCTCACCCACGCCAGCCACCTCACATCCGTTCAGTGCTGCATCTTGCGGCGAGTGATGGAAGAACTCGTGATGTCCTCTGTTCGCTCCTGCACGTCGTTGTACGGTGCTTGTGGCACCACTCAGCTTCACCGTGTACAATTGGTCATTCGTTGCTGTTTGATTGCATAGATCAAATTTATCTTTATTTCAAATTAAAATACTTCTTTGATTTAAATGAAAAACTGGTCATGCCTAGGGCCATCAATCAAAATAAAGCATGATGCAACTTTGTTGAGGCATATCGTCTGCTCGGAATATACCACAGTATCGAAATATACCTTCAAGTTCATGTTCCACACGTGATAACCAAGTGATTGCAACCATTATTCCGGAAAGTCTAGAACAGCTACGTCACTAGGCAATGTCTATCGATGTAAAAGACAATTGAATAGACGGTGAGACAGTGAGTGAGACAGCTTGAAAACGGTTGAATGGAGTGTTTCACATTTGTATGGGTTTAAAAAAAATGAAATAGCCATCTTGAAAATCATTCGACGCAGTTCACAGCCTTGCTCGTCTCTAGACCTAAGCCATTGTGGTTTCATGTGCCGATACGGCCACGGAACTAGGCTGGTTCTGGGCTTCTTTACAGCCGTTTTGGCCAGTAATGACCATTTCAGGCCTATAGGATGAGATGGAGCCTTACCTTATCCCTTACTTAGATCACCGGCGCTCATCATTTTACAATGGTCCTGTGAACACTTTCTAACCTTACGAAACTCAGAGTCTTCGCCGGAATCTTTATTTGGGCTGTGTAGAGATATGAAGGACCCCGCGAATGTAGATCGAAATGGGGCAAACATGGCCAGTCCATGTTTGCCCAGAATTTTTAACATTCAGTCAGAATTGATTAGTGATGCAAGTGATGTGACGTAGTTCGAGCATGCGCGCCCGCCAATCTTAGCAACACAGATCTGGATGCTAAGCGTTAAAGGCTCCATAGGCCGCACGGCGTCGGCCCCGCGGCTAACACTACGCTGTGGCCAGCGGGTGGTCAAAAATGATGACGAATTGGAAAGAAGTACAGTTGAACCCTTTTGGGCATCACACGTCACATTTAAAGGGAGCCGGACGTATATTCACCCATGCGATATTTAGATTGATGAATTGAACGGATATGACCTTTACAGTACCGCGAACTGATACTGGAATCTGGCGAAATGATTGAAGGAGTAAATGCAGAATCTCTGTTTTTGGTATTTCCGTAGCTGTTAATCTGTCCAAAGGACAACATCAAAGCTGTAAAAAACTGATTCGGCCAGCCTGATATTTGAAAGGGACGAATTATTTGTTCTAAACATTCCGAAGGATTATTGCACAATGGTCGCTCTCTCGCGCACGGCATGCGCCGCCTGGTGTTCGATGCAGTACCGATGCGGTTCAGTCTCACGGAAACTGCGACCCAGACCATCGCAGTCCTTGCTTCCGAGACTGCTGGTGCGCAGGCTCAAACCTTTTTTGATAATTTGTTTCACCAGTCGATTCTGCAATATAAAAAAGTTAAAAGGCAAACATGGGATGGCCTCGTTCTTTCTCGACCTCATTTGGACCCACTCTATCCAACACTTATCAGACCCCTGATTTCTTCCCGGGAAAGGAGCTCCTCAATTAGAACACTACGAGTGCATTATTGTTCGCGGTCAAGGGCTGTAGGGCCATTGCGTCCCACCGTGGGGTATCTTCCTGCTGCCCGGCCTGGTGACACGAGGCGAGGTCCCCCGGCCAGTCCGGAGGTCCTTAGAGGAATGCGTCATATCACATTAGTCACACTCACTGGGACTTTTGACTTCTGAACCGAGCAGACCGCAGTTGGCCCTGGATCGGCCCGATAAACCTCTTTGGCGCAGCAACATCCCTGATCGCCACAGGTGATCCAATAATTGATACATTGACTCCAGTTCGGCTGAACGGGCCCGTGCTCTGGAATTGGCTTGGAGGGTCCTGTTGCTCATTACTGGGGGCCCTAACAGACACAGAACCCTTCCATTGCCTCAATGTGAACAATCATCATAGGCATTCATGTTTCCTTTCACTGTCAGGGGGCTGTGACCAACACAAAAGGCCCTCTGTCACCCGGGGTCCCGTCCCGGCCCTGTTGAGCAAATCTTACTCCGACCGACTCAAGCCCCTTGTTGACACAGGATACCCTGTTAAGCAGTGTGGACCCCTGAATGATACAGGAGGCCCCGCATTGTTGCAGAGGCCCCGACTGATGTCAATCACGGGCCCGGCCGTGTCACTGCTCCGAAAATAGGCCCCCAGGGCTCAGACTGACACGGAGCCGACTAATCGGTGTTGGTGATCTCTGGCCGAAACAGAGAAATGATCTGTCTCAGGGGTCACCAATCGGTGCAAGAGACACTCTAACTGAAATATCAGATCATGGCCTCCACTTCCTGTATGGGCCTGAGGACCCACTTCCCAATCAGCTATAAAGCCGTTGCCAGTGATTTACACTGGTCGGCAGCATTGCATCTGTCATGAGCCCACAGCGCCCTAACAAAGAGCCCTGTGATCTAAAGGAGCCCCGAGCCGACCAATGCGAACTGTTCAGTGAGACGCGAAGAGGGGCTCACGCGGCCCACCGGAACCAAAGATCAAAAGCACTGTTGGAGGGCATAAGGGCCCGAAACACTGGCTGTAGATCATAGTAAAGAACCGCGACCCGCATGGGCGTGACCTAAAATACCAGTCAGAGATCCTTTTGCACCGTTGGAGGAGCCTCTGAGACAATGCGGGTGTCTAAGCTGGTCAGATACCACGAACACCGAACAGTCGGCTTCATGCCCGTCCGAGCCCTGAAGATCCATTACCCAAGCACAAATGAGGCTGGTGTCCGCCATTTGTAATTTTCGGGGCCCCTGACACAAGGACGGGCTCCCGTGTCAGTAAAGAGCCACAGTGCCGAACAGGGATCCTGTGACAGCAGGTGGTCGGAGTCGAAGCGGTGTTTGGGGTGGGGGGGGGGGGGTGGGGGGGGGGGGGGCGAAGAGGGGCCAAGAAGTATTTCAAGGCCAAAGATCAAGACCCCGATGGGATGGCTGAAGGGTCCGAAGAGCTGGCTGGAGGTCAAAATTTCATCGAAAAAAGACCGTGCAGGAGTGAAAAACTTAATTCACAAAGATGGAACTTATGAGCTCGTGACTTTTGCTTCAGCAAACAAAGACATCTAATTCAAGTCGGCATAGACGTAATATCAGAAACCTGACATAACTGTTTTCTTTTTTAACATCTTAGGCCATTAAAATGAGACAGTATACATTGATGCTTCGTAATTTTATGACAGTGTAATGAGCATAACAAATAACAACACCAGTAATTTGATGCTGCAATTTGCACTTCCTTTACACAGCACTTCCAACAAAAAACAAAGCAAAGAAATTCAATAACAAAATAACAACAGAAAATTCAACAAGCATAAAACACTCCAAACAATCTCGGGCTCCCACACATCAGCCCATCACCAAGTCAAACACAATAGGCATACCCCTGCCTTCTGTTAAGATGGGTTAAGAGAAAAGAAACATTTTGTCACCGTTTCTTACAAATTACCAATGCTTATTTCCATGAAAGCAGCCATGCCTAACCTAAAGAGGCCTTATTCCATCTCATCCTATCTAACCTGTTTGTATCACAGCAGCAGTCGTGAGTTACTGATTCTTGCACGATTCCTGTTGCCACTTGCCATGCACTTAACCAACTTAACCTAACTTAGAGCAGCCCATATGTTAAACATCATCTCAATTCACCTTTTGGTGACAGCAGCACTTGTGATAACAACATGATAAAGCTAATTTTTGGCTGGTTTCAATTTCCATTTTCATTCCGTTCATTTGTGTATGCTTGTTGACATCAGACAAAGTTGACAACACACAAATAAAAACACTTGAAATCACTTTGAACAGCTCATTTTGACTTCCACGTTAACCTATGTCAAGGGCAATAATGAGCATGCTCCACAAAACAATTTCCCTTCTCCAAAAGAAACATAACTTTTAGATGACCATACCAGTATTGCTGCTTGCCTTTCCAGCTGCAGCAATGGCATCTATTCAGGCTTGTTTATCGATATTTCATAACAAAGTTTGAGATGTTGGCTTCACATTTCAATGGAATGGTCTGACTATTTGTTAAGACTGATGGATTAATATAGATAGATAGATAGATAAAGACTGGTAGCGGACCAGGAGGCTCCAGTGCCGTACGTATGCAGTTGTTGAGGACTAATTTGCCATGAGGTTATGATGGGCACAACGGGCCCGTCCGTTTCAAACAATGCGTCATGTCAAGTGCAGTGACTTCAAACAACTATTCAAAGTTCAATCCCCAAGGTACGTTGCCATGGGGATAAGGGGACCGAGGCTAGCGACACTCCCACGTGAATAATGCTACTTGCGTCTTAAATCTTGATAGATAATTTTTACTCTTAAAGGGAGAGTCCACCTATGGGGCATATTTTAAAAACATGCTATGGTGAAACTTCATAACGATTTACTTCGAGCAGTAACAATGGGTAGTGTCAGTGCGACACCATCAAGATAATACAAGGGTGTAGGTTTTGATTACCTCTTCGATTCCAAATTACGTTATCAGCGCGTTGTAATAACACTACAATTCCTCCTCTTTTAGTAGCCCCAGTGTGTATCATAAGTTTGCAACAGCTGCAGTTGTCTAGACCGCAGCGGTCATGACAACAGCAAAATCTGGTGAGGACCGTTGTCAGATGTTACGGGTGAAAGGTAAACTTTTGATCTGCTTTAACCCACGCATTGCTGCTCTAACCCACGCATTGCGGGCCAGCGTGCTTAAAAGTGGCACCCCTACTGGAATGAATGACGTCACTTCAAATAAATGTTTGTAATTGTCATGGCGGGCGGCAAGGTCCAATTACCGAGACGTGAGTTGACTCTAGTTCGTACCAGTGCGTCGCTGTAGACAAAGTGATACTCCATTCCCCAAAGCCAAAGTGCGCTTCGAAAAATGCCTACATTATGAAAATGCGTAGGCCTAAAAATGCCTAAAAATGGCGCTACGGTAAACGCCACAGAGGAGAAATCAAAGCCAAAGTATAACGCTTCGTTCGATTCCCGGGGTAATAGCCTCATAGTGGCATATTTTTCTCTGAAAAGTGATTCCTACTGATGTTGCATTTGTTACACAAGATTCTTGACTTATAAGTGTGTCGCAAACATTACAGAACACACTTGTTGGACAAAGCAAGGTAAATTAAATGCATTACTTTCAAAGTTATGAACAAAAAACCCCATGCGACTTCTCCCGCAGGAGCGAGTACGTCAAATCGACATTCTAAGTTATTCAGACGGATTTCGAGAAAACTGGTACCACCGATCAAATCGGACGTGTCCGATCCAGCGATAAGTGGAAAACACAAAACTTGCATACTCCTTCTAACGTCGCTGTCTCTTTTATGTAATGTGCGGCAATTACACATCCACATCACCATTGGCCATGAGGACTTTTAGTAATGTTTCCACCCTGTTTTACAGCGAAATGCTCAGAACATGTCTGTCATATATTCATTAACTGTACAGATATGTGAAAAAGCGTTCGTCGCTAATCTGGCTAACGGTGGGTCTGAATAATTTACTATTGAGGTAAAATCCGACTTTGCGTGCTGCTTTAACCGTAGGTAGATGCTTAATTAAGTCTATAATCAAAGTGTACCTTTGAACGGAATAATTAAGTATGATGGCATATCACACGGCTATACACAGCAGGCACAGACATTTAACACGTGAATACATTATCACAATGTGGGAATCATAAAACGTGCCAAATGCGAGAAATGCACGGCACGGGCCAAAACCGGACCCGGCGAACCGGATCCGACAGCTTTGGCCGCCTCGCTCGTCCTGTGATTGCGCATGACGTCTGGCTTATTGACGCTTTCAATGGCTTACCATTGTACGAGGAACAACAAAAGTTTTTAGTTGACCATTTTTGGCAGCAAGCGTTAACATATATGAACCAGTCGGTCTTGACGTAAGCCACATAGCGTGAGTCTGTACGAAGCACAGACTCAAGCTCGTGAATCACAGGGTCATTCGAGAACGGTTTCGAAAACGGTGATGGTGGCGCTGTCGTTTGCCGGCGCAGCTTTTGTGGCTGGGACGGTCTTGATATAAACATATGACTAGCAACCGGACCATTCCGGCTCACTGATCAACAGTTTTCACTTTTTGACCTGTTGCGCCCGTCAACATCGGAAATCAGCTATAGAGATGCACCCTGGAACAGTCCGATCCATGACACTTGCTTGCACGTCTGTGACTAGCTGTAGACATCATGTCACAGTTTCTTGACGTTTGTCACCTTTCTTCCCTGTCAGACGGCATTGGCGTCTTACCCTTCCGGCGCCAAGTGATGGAGAACTGTATGCCGGCTGTGGTCCCTGCATGTCAAGCTTTTTTTTGAAGGAATGAAATTTCGTCTCTGCGATGTCGGAGGGGGTGTCCCACATTTGTATGGGGCATTCAACTGAAATGGCAATCTTGGAAGAGATTCGGTGCATTTCACAGCCCTGCTTTTCTAAAGACCTGAAACCTTCTAGTTTCTGATGCCCGCGAACATGTGCGGATAATTTTTTAAAGACTATTTGAAGATCACCCAGGCATCCATAACGCCATAATAGCGCCATTGAAATCGGGCTATTTCGTTGGCGATGCAGCGATCAAAGGCAATAAAACATGATTGTTGACTCGCTCATATCTGACGTTCGCTAACACGATTTCGAGACATGACGGCCGCTAACTGCCTGTCAATCAATGTTGTGCA